TTGCATTTAAAGCACTAAAAATATAAAAAGGCAAACTTTTAATGTATTTTAGTAGCAAATCTTCCAGCTCGTTTTTTTATCTGTTCAAGCAGTTCTTGTTGTTTAGATAAAAGCACATTTGTTCAAAGAAAAACCTGACATGTGAAAAGGTTGAATTTGCTCCTTTTGCTGACCCACATAAGTACCATCAAATACAATTTTTTTTCCAAGAAAAAAAAAATCTTGTTTACTGTTTCTTTTCRATCGTAGTTGTAGCTCAAGCTTCTTTGAGTAAAGGTAGCTTAGATGCATTAGCAGTGCAGGCAGGGAGGCGTGGATTGTGGGGGAAATGGTGAATGTAAAAGGCCATTAGGAGGCTCCCCATGTGTCTGTGTGTGCGTGAGTCAGAGCCTGATGATGGATGGAGTGTGCTGACGTGCGCAGCCCAGTGGACTGTGAGACTGGACATGGCTGGTCTCTCTCCGTCTCCCTCCATCTCTTTCTCCCACTCTATGCTTCACTTCCTCAGGGCCAAACATGTCATGTCGCCACCGCTCCCGCTTTCTACTTACTTTCACTCTTTTTCTTTCTTTTTTTCCTCTTATTTCTCCTTGCTCTCTGACATTTTAGCAACATAGCGTGGCAGATTTAAGGCATCAGGCATACTTCAATTACTTCTAACTGTCATCCAGTCTAAGCTAAAGGTATGTAGGTGAGCTGCTTTTACTGGCTTGTCTATCACCAGTCATCACTGTTTATACATTGCCATATTCTCAGATGATTGAGAATATAAATGAGCTTTTCTATAAAATTTAAAAATCTATCTCTTTGACAGATTATTGTTTGTAGAATACCAGAGCTAAGACATGAAAACAAATCATACACATTATTCATGCCTGTAAATATTCATAGATCGTATTTTTAAATTATCATAAGTGGGCTGTAAAAAATGTTTTATCTTTTGTGTTTATAAAGCTATAAACCTAAAAGAAAATTGAAAATAATACATGTATTTTCATTATGATAAAATTGGCTTTTTATAATCCTAATGTTAAGCTATGTTTCCATTGCAACCATCAGACCGTGACTGGGATTCAAATGAAGGAACTGTGCATCATATCATTTTCCAACATTGGAAATGCATCACACAATCATTGAACATTCCCCGTCACTCTCAGGCATCATCTTTCTCATCAGCGGTATCTTTTATGAGCTCCCTGCATCTTTCTCCGGCAGACGTTCATGAAGATTTTCGCTGTCTTCATTCAGTCTGTCATAACTCACTCCGGTGCTCACACTCTGTTCTCTGTTTATTGTACCTTGCCACGACTGTTTGATTTCTCACAGAAGATCACTTTTAGGGGTTTCAGGGATGTTCCGCCTTATTCAATCAAGCGCACTGTCACTGAATAGGGAGTGTGTTGCTAGGCAACTATGAGAACTCAATGACAGGGTTCAAATGACGGTCCTGCGTTTGCAGAGAACGTTCTGCCTCCATCTGCACAACCGCTTCGCAGAATTGATCATTTCTATTGACGAGTAAACGGCTCTTCTGTGTAGTTATTTGCAATTTATRTGAGCTGCGACTCACACATTTTTATCACACACAAGTTTCACACTACTTTTTATTGTTGCCCTGTTTTGGTATTAATATAAAGAGCCTGTAGAAGCATGTCATGTCAGCAGATTTTGCTGGATGATATATCGCCTCAAAAATTATCACGATAAGCGTAAAATGGTTTGGAGACTAATATAATGATACCCAGTGCTTACAGAAGTCTGCGGAAGTTTATAAATTTACGTACGTAAAAAAGTTACGAACTGAGCAGGACCAGAGATTGGGAAAACAACACACAGCAGCTGTTGAAGCTGTAAAATTGTATCCCAGCTCCTCTATCCAAGCCAGCACAATTTATCCTTTATTGATATTTTTCTGGCTTTATAAAATAATTACCGTCACCCTCATGTTGCTTATGAAATTTACAGTTTACAAAATTTGCATCAAGTTCTGGACGGACCGGGATTGGAGTTTTGAAAACAACACACAACAGCAGCTACTGAAGCTGTAACGTCGCTAACCTCCTCTATTCAAGCCGGCGCAATTTATTCTTTTTGTGGCTTCCTCTGACAAATAACTGGTCATCCTCACGCTGCTTACAAAATTTAAAGAAGTTTACGAAATTTACATAGTGTAAAAACACCCAACTCTCTGCAAACCCAAGGTATGACACTGTTCCCAAAGGGCTTCCTGAGGCATCGCCAGCTGAAAGAAGGCATCAGAAAACCAATGAAGCTGTTCACAGCAGGGTTATTATAGTTAACTAAAACTAACTAAAAAAATGAAAACTAAAGTAGAAAAAACATTTTAGTTAACTGAAATAAATAAAAACTAAAAAAAAAAAGAAAAACCGATGACTAACTAAAACTGTATAACTTTTTTACAAAACTAACTGAAATTATAGATAGAATATCCTTAGTTTTAGTGTTTGTCAATTTATTTTGAGCCATGTGGATCTTTTTATTTATTAATTTTTTTTTTCAAATTGAGTAGCTTCACATTAGCCGTGGGCCGTAACATTTGTTTACAGTCTGCTGCTCAGCATCGTCTGCTAAATGACAACAACAAAAGTTGGGAGAAAGCAGCAACGTCCACTTTGGGATTTCTTTAAATATGACTACGAAAAAAATCAAAGCGTCTTGTAGTGGATGGAACCGAGGATAAAATAGGTGGAGTGCTTCTCAAGGGAAAAACTGCATGAATCAAGCTCACACAAGATGGCTAACTATGACTATCTTGACAYGCTAGCTTCTCTTAGTAGCTCCCATGAAAAATAAACAACACGTAGCACCGGGTTGGACACAACTATTGTCATCGATCTAAATTAATCACCCAAGTTTTTAGTTAGCAAAATTAAGTTACACAATTATTTTAGGAAGCTGTTACTATAATCAAAAGGAAAAAAAATTGTACAGGTCCTCTGGATGGGTTGTTCTTTAATGAAATGTTTCATCTCTCTTCCAAGAGACTTCTTCAGTCTGAGAGTTTCAGGCAAAATTCAGGCTTTTGAGTCCTGCCTCCAGGTGACTGATACTCACATCACATGGCTATCGTTCACACCTAATTAATACCTATTGTTAACAGGGGGTGGAGTGATACTGCCAATGGCAGCGCTGTAGGAGGGGGACAGCTGAAAACGGARGCCCCCACCTCTGTTTAATGATGGATGGTCTTTCTTCACAAAAATGGCTTCTTTTACTCCTCTCTCAAACCAACGTTCCTCTCTATCAAGAATGAGAACATCCTCATCTCTGAAAGAGTGACTGCCGGCCTGTAAATGAGTGAAAACTGCAGAGTTCTGGCCATTAGAATTGGCTCGTCTGTGTTGGGACATTCTTTTGAACAGTGGTTGCTTTGTTTCCCTGATGTATAACCGGTCGCAGTCCTCCTGGCACTTAACAGCATATACAACATTGCTGTGTTTGCTCTGTTACTATAATGGACTGCTTTAACTAGTGACCAAATAGCTGCTGGTTAGTTAACTCACAGGGACATCACAAGCTGGAGGATGCATTGGCAAATAAACTAGAAAAAAACTAATACTAGAACTAATAAAAACTAAACTAAAACCAGGCATTAAAATGCAATAATAACTAATAAAAACTACCAAATCCACTGTAAAAACTTATTAAAACTAACTGAATTAAAAGAAAAGAGTCAAAACGAAATAAAACTCAACTATAATGAAAAATCCAAAACTATTATAACCTTTAAAGGAAAAAAAATTGTTATACAATTTTTTTCCTTTGATTTTTTTACCTGGATTACTGAGATGCATCAGGACATATTATAACCTTTGTTCACAGGACTGTCATGCTACAGAGGTTATGAGAACATGTGCCTGGAAAATACCTGACGTGAGAGTTATCTTCACCCTATGGTAAGGAGTAGAAAAGAGGAAGACGCAAAGAAAACAAACAAGCTGGCAAATGAAGAGTATCAACTTCATTTTAATTATTGTGCAATTAATTGATTATTGTGACAGACCTACAAGCAACATTTCAACAGAAGTTGCTATTCCACCATAGATCGGTTGATCTTATATAGAAAAGCGCCTCCATTTTTTTATATTAATGCAAAACAAAAGAAAAAACCGTTTTAAACTTTAGTTTCAACTCACCAATCAACAGAGAAGAACCCCTCTGTGCCTCTGACAATGGAACTATCGTTATTGCCTCTTGTCAAGAAGTGAGGCTATTTCCTTTTCCAGCCATCATGTCTCTGCAGCACTGGGGAAAAAAAGCGGTCTGCAGAGTTCTGGTAAAAGGTCTCCCAGCTTAAACTGTAGTTGTTTCTTAGAGTTCAAGAAAATGAGTGGTGAGCAAAGATGCACATCAGTAACCAAGAGAAATAAAACCGGCACGTTGAGAGCGGGTGGGCCCAGCTGCCCTGTAATCCTTGCTGTAAGGAAGGATGGACGAGGTGGTGTAGGCAGAAAAGACCCCGTGGATTCTTGTTTTGACTGATACTCAGGTGTCAGACAGAACTCCTTTTACCATCTCTAGTTGTATCAAAACGTTGCAGGAGGACTGAATACTGGGGCAAACTGGTACAGACACATCACTTATAACAAACTGTGTTTTGCACACAGTCACACCACTGAAATGATGCCTGGTGAACAAACCACAAAAATTGATTTTGTGGCATTAGTAATATAATGTTATAGGGTACTTTGTTTGGAATCCTGTAGATGGCATTTTTTTTCTTTTTATTCTCATTTTAATCAACCATGCGCTACTAAGATTGTCATAAATTTAAACTGTACAGTTTTATCAAAGCAACAATATGATTCGCCAGATTGGTTTTTTGGTTTGTTAGATGATAGTGTGTAGTTTTATTGTAAAAGTTTGTACACATTTCTTCAGGTTTTTGTAAGTTTTAAATGGCTTATAATGTTTTGAAAGATTTAGCCACCATTTAGACCTGTGAAAATGTTTAAATGTTTGTTTTTAACTGTATACAGGTTTGATGCAGAGAAGGCCCGAGCATCAGCACAAGCTCAGGCTGAAACTCAATCACAAGTCCAGGCTGAAGTATCCAGAATGTTGTCTGCAGAGCGGGCTGCGACCCAAGAGAGCCTCCAGCAGGCCATTCTAAGAGAAAGGATCACCATCGAGGATGAGAGGCTCAGAGCTCAGCTGCTTGTAAGTGTTGTCACAAAATAATTTTTCWGTATTATTTTTACTTATTTTTTTTCTCTGAATGAATTTCACAAAGCAATGAATTTCTGATGGAAATGTTGTTTGCAGAATAAAAGTGGTTATGGCTAAAGCTAGATTCCTCCTTTGATGGAGAATTCACCTGACTTTATTAGATTATTTTTTTACACATGTATTAAAAGTTTTAAAGTTCCAAAAATAAGTTAGCTTGGTTGGAAATACATTTACATTTTTTAAAACACTATGTAAAGATTCGTTCTGCAGCTGCTTTAGTTTTGTTTATTTTAGTCTGACACATTATTGGGTGCCACCTGTAGACTAAGCTTTGAGTGTTAAAATATAATCAAAGTTTTTTGCTAAGTAGTTAAACTTTATCATAAGTTTCATTTAACTGAGTATAAATAATTCAACAGATCCAATTTTAGGTTTGAAGAGATTTTATTTCTGTTTGGTTTAGTGTCATAATTTCCTACTACTAAGTTCTGCATTTAATTGCAGTACTTCTAATAAACAAAAATACTAATGACTTTTTTTGATCTGATTATAATGAATAAAATGTACTTAAACTTGTTTGTCATAATACATTTTTTTATTAATTCAGTTACCATTTGGTTCACAAATTCTTTCTTCTTTGCTCTTTTATCCTCTTGGAGATATTTATAAAATTTCTGAGAAAATGTTTCTCTAAATTAAAAAAAAAACAACCATCCTCCTGGTGCAATAAATGCTTACTTCCTATCTTTTTCCATTTTGTTTTATTATGTGCTTTTATGTGCATGCATGAGTGTATGTTGCTCATTTTKTWAAGAAAATATCTAAATCTATTATAAAATATCTGTTTGGATAATTCTGCACCACAGGCTGTGAGGTGGTCTAAATTAGGACTGGATATTTGGATATTCACTCTGTGCCTGCACAGGTTTCCTCTCAGTGCTATGAAGCTCCTCTCACTGTCAAAAGACGTAGATTAGGTTAATTGTCAGTTAGGCGAATGTGAACGTGAGCGTGAATGGTTGTCTCTCCGYGTGTGTGTCAGCTGTGTGATTGACTGGCTCTTGCTCAAAGTCAGTTGGAGCGGCTTCCTGCCACATGTGATCCTCTAAAGGATAAGCATATTTAGCTGATGGATGAATGGAAATCTGTGGCACATTATCAAATAGCGTTTTAATTGTTTGACCTTCCAAGCACAAATTCACTGACGGGCGGGGAGCGGGGGTGGTCAATTTGTAAGAGGACAAGTTCCATTTCACAGTCACAGTCTCATGCTCTGAGCTGTACCTTTCAGCTCTTATCGGCAGGGCATGGTTGGCACAACGACAGATGTTTGTGCTATAAGCAGTAATTGCTGTAAGCAGTAATTCAAAGAAGTGCGTCGACTTTGTCAACTCTCACAGCCAAAAAAAGGCCTTAATGAAACGCACATGAACAGTACAACTCAAAGCTGCTATGGAAAACAAACTCAAAGGACTTTCACTTTTCATTTAAAACATCATGAAGTCATACAGTAAGTAAACATTGCCACTCTAGGTCAGCAYTGCCTTGATCCAAATCACTTCCTGTTTATCCTATTAAGAGAAATGTTCTCATTTTGTTCGACTTGTGTCTCTACTTCCTCTAAATTGCCCTCGTAAACATTTACAGATGAACATCCCCAGCACACTCAGGCAGTTTGTTTACTAAAAAAAAACATTTTCCCTGGAGTGTGGCCTCTGTTTACAAACCTATTCTATTGATTATATAGCTCATTTCACACGCCTATTGCAGTAATAGAAAAAATTAATCATTTTGTTGAGAGAGAGTAGGAGCGACGCGTTGATGTGATTCCTAGCCATAGGACAAGTATCTCATTTGGAAGGCGTCGATGATTGAAACTAAAGAAAGAGATAGAAGAGCATTGGTGAGGGGGGAAGTCTATGATTTGATGTTTTTCACTTCATGATATTTGAAGAAAGCAGTTTGAGTTATACGTTCTAATTTTGAGTTGGAGCAAGTTGGGGTAGGGCTGCCATGATTAGTCGACTAGTCGACGACTAATCGACTATTAAAATAGTCGATGACTAATTTAATAGTCGATTAGTCATTTTTTTGTTTGTTTTTTACTTTGTTTTTCTCTCCCAACTGCTTTGACACCTTCCACTGCCACAAMTGCCTTTCTGTCTTTGACACACATGTGCAGTAGTGGTAACCAGGTAGGTCGTGGATGTCACAAGACGTTATACAGACAGGCTCTGGTGTCATGGCTACCCAGCAAAGGAGCTCAAAAGTGTGGGATCATTTTAAGAAAATGAAAGAGAAACCTGTGCAATATCTGCAGAGCAGAACTTTGCCTTCCACAGCAATTATTTTTAGTTAGCATATAGCTAAAATCTAACAATGGTTATACAGTATAATAGCAGCTGCATTCTGGCGCAATAAGCTGTATGTTATATTCAATTAACATATGATCCCATTAGTTGAATAATTAAAAAATTATCAGTGATTAGTGGATTATAAAAATATTAATTTGTGGCAGCCCTAGTTGGGGGCAATAAAGACATGAGACAGAAGGATATAAAAGTAATTCATCCTTTGTATGTTTACATGAATGTGTGCATTCAGTAGTAGTCCTGTGGTTATCATTGCCTGCATCTTTCTAAAGCACTATTTTTTGAACTTTTCCTACTTTGAAGCCATTTCTTGCAGCCCTGAGGCTAACTCCAGACCATTAGCACCCTTTATAGGTACATATAGAAAAAACTGTTGCTTTGGTTTTAGACTTATTCAATAATATGGTCTTTTGTTTGATTATTGGACTGTAACTTGTGTTTTCTACCAACATCAGTTGTTTTTCTTTTCCTGGTCCTTATTCTCTACCAAAAGACACATTGTCAGAGGTTTTGCTGTTTTAAATCACACACAGTAAGTCTGTTTGGTAATTTCTTCTATAAAAGCATTCTTTAAAGCGCTGCAGTTTTAATAGAATCCGACGGGTTATCAGCCGAGGTGCAGTGCTGTTTGCACCACTTATGTAATTGTCAAGTCAGACGCTGCCACACAGCCGATATTCTTTTCAACTGGAAATTGACTTTTTGCGTTTTTAAAGACAGACCATCTCCCATTCATTGTCATTTCACTGTGTTCATCAAACCCCAGAATTGTTCGGTACCCACAGCAAACTCATCTTTGATGAAACACAAAATGTCTTTTGTATGTGTGTGTGTGTTTATGCGTCTGTGCATGCATATGTGTGTGTGTCTCCATCTGCTGTCTGTCCTTTCTTTTGTCTTTTTGCTTTAGTCTGAGACCTAATTTCTTTTTACTGAAAAAGAGCATAAAGAGAAATTTGTAAGAAAATTTACTTCAAAGAATAGGAATGTTGATGCTATTTTTTTCTTATTTTCACAAGTTTCATTTACTTCAGTACACACCCTCATGTCACCCTGTAAATTAAATAAACATTATTGTACAGCACATAAGCAATGGTAATTGGAAGGTGAAAGTAGTTGTGATTGCTAGGCAAAGTCAATAAGGTGATTGACTAAGAGCTCCAAGGAGAAGTTATGGTTTGCTGTTCTAAGCACATAATCTGGTGACCAATAGTGCCTAAAGAGGTGATTTGTTTCATTATTTCTTTAAGCAAATCTGTTTTTGTCTCATGTTTTAGAGGTTTTACTCATAAATTCCTAAACACTTGATTGGTCTGTTGGAAAAAAAGAACATTTTACATGCCTTTTTTGTTATTTTAAGCAACATTTAGCTTTAGCATCACCATAAAAAGCATTTTGCATGCATGCATCCATTTAGACACATTTACTCTCATTTAGATTCTTGCACTGAACTTTCAAAACATTTAGATACAGTGTATTGTTGGAATTAGAAAAGCCTGTTCAACATAATCAGTTTAGCATGTTTTCTTCTCTTGTGTTAATTTAGTTTTAAGCCAAAACACATTTTAATCCAATTACAGCGCAGGCTTGACTGAAAATATTAGGAGATTTGTTCTTATTTGCTTCCAGAAAGTAATAAAATCAGGTGAATGTTATGAAACCGTTTGGTTTTGTTTATTTTCTGTCTTCCACCTATTCTACTTGTTTCAAGACCAAGCTAGAAGAATGATGTATGTAGACTGTAGAGGGACACTTGTAGAGCTGAATGCAGTAAAGCTTAGAGCACATTAAAACCAGTTATGTATTTACCACCCATTAAAATGAAAAAGTAAGGAAATTAAACTAAAACCCCTGGCTCAGAATTGAAAAGTTGGACAAATTTGCTTTAATAAAAACAAAATTGTGTTTTGAAAAAAAAAGATCAAAACTAAAATTCTTATATTGATCCCATTAATTGAAATGAACTCTGCACATGTTTATTGTGACAGAGAATAACTTCTCTCCCTGTGGCAGCTGTGCTTGTGTTCTTCTTCCAGCGTGGCATTGATTTGTCCCCCTCATTAAGATACAGGTCACGGTGAGTGGTGGGACCCCATACGTTCCCTCCTCCTTCACTCACAATAAGGGCAAGGCTATGAGCAGTTATGCCTCCCCACGCTCACCTATAATGGCCATAACCTTCACAACCACGGCTGCACCAATTACAGTGACATGCATTGAAGAGGTTTGCCCCAAGACATTGGCGTAGACCAAGATTGGGTATCATTTAGTTTTTATTGATTTGGTTTCTGGTTAKTTTAGTTTTAAATTGTCATCTCAAGTGTATTGCAGATTCAACAATTGCCATGTCATGAAAGTGTCATCTTATTCATTTGTCAAGATGATTGTTTTTGGAAAGTTGTAAAAAGTCACAACAAATAAACTTMTTGTGATTTAGAAAAGCTAAAACAACCAACAATACAAATATTGTTTTCTTTAAGAAAAAAGAATACTTGTTTTACAAGTTCTTGTTTAATCTATCAACGGTTGGATCTTAATCGCSTTTTGGCTTCTTATTATATAAAGATTACATAAATGTCATATGATAAATGCCATGTGTATCTAGGGTGCTCGATGATT